GGGGTGGGGTCTTTATTTTGTAGTGGATGTAGGGATTTGGGAAGGTGGAAAGCGAGGGATGGGAGGGTGGGGGTGGGAGTCTTTATCTTATAGTAGAAGTGGATATTTGGGAAGGTGGTGGAGGGGGGTTGGGTTGTCTTTATCTTATAGTAGATATGACAAATAAGCAACAAACCGTTATACAAACAAACGCAAAATCCACAAAAGCACGCTGCTAAATAACACCCAAGAAAGAAACAGTCAAACTGACAAATAGCACACAAACACATACAGACAAAAAGGAAGCACAGTTAAAAGTTAACATAGAATCAAATGAGATAAAGAACAAAGCAAACACAAAGACTGTGACTTTCCATAGTTTGGTCACTACCTGCTTTTGTACGACTTGTTCATGACAGGCCTTTTCTCATAGAACGTGCTATTGCTGTAATACAGTGGGAACCGCTTAAACCGAACACGGTTAATCCGAACAAAGCAATAAACCGAATGAAAATAAAATCTCCGATTTTTAAAATTTTCTTCTATTTGAGCAACCTCTTTAAACGGAAAATGTGAGTGGTTGGCGGGTGCTCTGGTCTGGTTTGCTCCTTCTTTCCTATCAAACATATATCGTCCTGATCTCTCCTACTTCTTTTTTGTGTTTGTTACTCTATTGTAACACCTCTAGTCTTCGGCACTTATATGACCTTATTGTGTTGCAAGTGCCGTAAACTCTTACTTTGGCGCTCATATGACCTTATGCAGTTGCGAGCGCCGTAAAACCCTCTATTATATAAAAAACTCTTACAAAAACTAAAACTAAACGGAAACCTGGATAGAAAGACGGATATTCGGCGGTCCGTCATGTTTTAGCTTAAGTGGACTACATTGTGTTATTTGCTTGATCGATTGTTGGGCAGACACCTTTTGATGTACATGTATCTAGGAGCTTTGGGGGGATTTTACAAACATGCAGTGGCGATACAACTCTGCCTATGTGCTTTGTCCCATTTTTTTAACTTCAGACATATCATTTTGTGTCACAACAAGGTAAAATCAAGCGCACGTCTGTTTTATGGCTTTTGAAGAGATAACTATCGTCTTTATCTCTCCTCCTTCTTTTTTGTGTTTATTTACTCTCGTGCAACACCTCTAATCTTCGGCACTTATATGACCTTATTGTGTTGCATGTGCCGTAAAACTTTACTAAAACTAAAACTAAACATATTATTTTGTGTCACAACACGGGGGAATCAGGCGCACGTCAGTTTTATGGCATTTGAAATTATTGGTATCGTCTTTAAGTTTGTTTGTTTGCTTTGTTTGAGTGGGTGGTTGGAGGGCGCTACTGGTAGGTCCTACTTCTTTACTTTCCCCTCTGTTTTTTTCTGTCTGTCAGTCTTACTTTTTTTCCAGGAAGCTCCTTTTGGCGTAGCGCGCAACACATATTTTACAGTTCGGCACCTTATGACGGAACGTGTCGACTTCGACGATATACGTGTAAAATACTTCAAATTTAAAGATATCAAAACTCTTTGACATCATTAGTCCAAGAAAATATTGAATTTTTTTTTTAAAGAAAAGAAAAAGATTGTTTCATAGGGTATAAAATGTATAGTTATGAATGTCGGTGTATATATAATCACTGAAATTATGTGAATAACCCTTTTTCATTTTAACCTTTTGTTGCCTCATGTCCATAACTTGCAATGGTGTGTTTATGATTTAACATAATTTTAGTTAGAAGCAATAGAACAATAGAACTCGGAAATGGATGTACAGAAAAGTGGGAAGATATGGAGTGACATCAAGCGACTAGCCCAGAATAGGGAAAGGTGGAAAGTATTTGTTCGTGGCCGATATCCTGATCTAGGGGGAGAAAGGCAATGATGATGATGATGAATAGAACCCTATGCTGTACTTGTGATCATGGTCTAAATTGGAGACAACTAACGTGATAACGCATACACGCACATAGACATACAACTTTATAAGTACGTGTACATGTATTTGAAAAAAAATGCTCATACATGTATGTACTCGTAGGTTGTATAAAATTCAGCAATGTATTTTTATTACAATGATTACCGGTAGTATCGTGGAAGGAAAAGAAATCAAATGAGGTAGTGCTTGATGAGGGCCACGTGGGACACTCAATGTTAAAAACAATCAGGAAACGAC